CACTCGCCCCCTCCCCCTGCCCCCATGTCCACCGCCTCGTCGCAGCACCAAAAGCCACAGCCCATTAATCCGCCGATTCGCGGGAAAAAGCCCGTCAAGCTCCCACACATCCTCTCTGACTCCAGCTTCTCATCCTCCCCGCCGCCCAACCACCGCGATTTCACATACGACGCCCGAGCCAACTCCACCTACTCGAGCACACCCTCCCAAGCTTCCTCCGTCTGGAACTGGGACAACTTCTACCCTCCACCGTCCCCTCCAAACTCAGAACATTTCCAGCAGCTCCAGAACAAGAGAAACCCTAAGCCCCAAATTGATTCCAACAGCTCCGACTCAGACAACGACGATCCCTACACGGACAACGACGATAAAGCCTCGAGCTTCACATCATACTCAAATCCCCATAAAAACACAAATCAATACGAAAACCCTTTTGGCAGCGATCACGGCAAAGACTCCCTAGACGACCGCGCATCTAATTACTCGTCTGTTTCCCGCTACTCGGACCATAGCTACGCGAGAAAAGGCCAGATTGTGAAAAAAGGACCCAACTTGAAAAAATGGGAAAGCGAGGAAGATGAAACAGAGAGGGAGGAAGTTCAGTGCAGCGAATGGGGGGACCACTACAGCAGCACGAGTAGCTCGTCCGGTGAGGACGAGAGGGAGGATTTGAAGTCGAGATCCGATTTTGGTACCCGGTCGGATTTTGGGTCGGTGAACAATGAAGGTGGCTATATGAAGCCCGCTATTGTGGGGAGGGTTAAGAATGTGAATGTGAATTCGAAGAAGTTCTCGAGCAAGCTGGAAAAGCTTTCTTCTTTGGATGATGATGGCAAGTCTTCGGTTAGTTGGGGGGATGTGAATGATCAGAAGGCTGCGAATTCTGACCGTAGGATTGTGGTGAGGCACAAGGATCTGGCGGAGATTGTGGCGGCTATCAGGGAGTATTTTGATAAGGCTGCCACTGCTGGAGAGCAGGTCTCGGAGATGCTCGAGACGGGTCGGGCCCAGCTCGACCGGAGCTTCAAGCAGTTGAGGAGTAAGTTTTGATACAATTATTATTGTTATTATCAATATTTTTTTTTAAATTTTTTTTTTTCCGCAAAATCTGAACTTTTTACGGTTTTGAGAATAGTTGTTTTTTATTGGAGTAATAATTTACTTGGAATTTGCAGTTGAATATGTTTTATGAATTTAATTGATCTGCTGCAATTTTTATCACATTTTGTTGCCAGCTGATTCATTTTATGCATTGGGGAAGTGGAATGTTAATAAATTTGTTGATATTTGTAATTTGGTGTCACAGAGACAGTGTATCATTCTAGTGGAATGTTGAGCAACTTGAGCTCCAGCTGGACCTCGAAGCCTCCTCTGGCTGTTAAATACCGGTTTGAACCAAGTTCGATCGAGCAACCGGGTGGTCCAAAGAGCCTCTGCTCCACTTTGGAACGGCTATTGGCCTGGGAAAAGAAACTGTATCAAGAAGTCAAGGTACTCATATACTCATATAAATGTCTCTCTCTTTTT